TCCCTCCCTTTCCGGCAGCCGGAGACCTGCGGCCACAACCAGTACTTCGATATCTCCGCGCTCGCCTGCGCCCGCTGCGGCGCCGACCAGAGGCGGGCCGCCCACGGTGAGGGGGAGGGGCGGGCCCGGGCTGGTCCCCGACGTCGCCCGAACACCTGTCTGGGGACCCCCAGGCCGCCACCCGCGCGCGAGCGGGCGCCAGTCCCCCCCCCTCCTCAGCCTAGGGCCTTCAGGGAGCCCCTGGAAAGCTGCCTGTCGAGGTAGAAACAATGGAGAAGTCATCTGAGCTGCAGGGGACAGGACAGGCTGCAGGGAGCAGGGGACAGACAGGGTAGCCTGCAGGGAGCAGGGGACAGACAGGGTAGGCTGCAGGGAGCAGGGGACAGGACAGGGAGAAGGGGACAGGACAGGCCGCGGGGAGCAGGGGACAGGACGGGCCGGGGGAGCAGGGGACAGGACGGGCCGCGGGGAGCAGGGGACAGGACGGGCCGGGGGAGCAGGGGACAGGACGGGCTGCAGGGAGCAGAGGACAGGACGGGCCGCGGGAAGCAGGGGACAGGACGGGCCGCGGGAAGCAGGGGACAGGACGGGCCGCGGGAAGCAGGGGACAGGACAGGCTGGGGAAGGGATGCACATTGGCCCTCGGACTTTGATAACCGTTTATCTTACTTTTCAAATCCCAGAAATTTAGAGCTGGAAGGGGCCTTAACCTTGAGCAGGTGCAGTCTTCTCATTTTTACAGATAAGCAAAATGAAGCCCAGGTGAGGCTGTGATGTCCCCTCTGTCGCCTCAGTTGGGAACAGGAAGAACACGCGTCTCTCCGCCCTGAGCCTGGAACTATGTGTTTCCACGATAGGATGTGTCCATGATATTACGGATTTCCTTAGGACTTGTCACTTTTATTATTGAATGTTACTAATTGCCCTTAAAGTCTCTTCAAATTAAGTTTAATTTTTATTTTATTTATTTTATTTTATTTTATTATTTTATTTTATTTTATTTTTGCTTGAAATATCCATCATATTTGGCCCTGGTTCCCCTCACGGAAACCGCTTAGAATAAGACTTCTCCTATATTCTAAAGTCTAAGATGTTTTCAGTCTCAGTTTTGTCACACCCATGGTGTTAAATTTCTGCCATCGTCAAATCTGACATATCCCCATTTAAGTCATCGTGTAGGACGGGTCAGGCTCCTCAGGTGATGAGAAAGAATTTCGCAGACTCTAAAGTGTATGGTGTGAGTTTCATAATTATGAACCCAGGTATATGCGTTCTACTGCGAAGGTTTCTGTGGGTGCTGTTTCCACTTCAGGCTTCCTTAGAAAATGACATCCACACCTACTCAGCACACTGAGCGGCGATTATCTCATAATGTTTACTATCTGTGCAAACAGAGGAATATGGTAATTTATTGGGATGAATGTAACTTTTCTAATAAGGTTTTGTTTTGACAAAGTAAATTTAAATTTATCGAACATGTGTGTGTGTTTGGGTGAAATAGAAGTGAGAAATTTACATATCAGTTAATCAGTAGTGTGTTAGTTCAATAATTTATTATGCTTGCACTAAAACTAGTGGCAAGCACAATACCAACCATGTACCTAACACATCCTAAGACCTTTACATATAATGTTCATACCAACTATGAGGGAAGAATTGGTTTTTTCCATTTTACCAAAGCGGAAGCCAGAGCACAAGAAAGTTCAGTAACTTGCTCAAGGTCACACAGCTAAGTAGCAGAATCAAAATTAGAACCCAAGGAGTATGTTTCTGGATTTGAACCTAGGCAGTACTAGTTCCAGAGTCTTTCTCTTAATTACCGTACTTTTTCTCTAGATCTTAAGGATTATTAAAAGTTTCCTGTCTTGGAATTTTATTTTTATTTACCAAGGTCTAAATTGGCTCTCTTCTTTTTAGGAACTTCATGTGTGTGTCTACCAGGATTTCAGATGATCTCTAATAATGGAGGAGCTGATATTATTTGTAAAAAGTGCCCAGAAGACATGGTATGAAGCAGTTATCTTTAAATAATTTTATTGTAAAAAGTAGTAAATTAAATTTATTTTTTAAACTACCGCTTAATACTGTACACTACTATTTTCCCACAACCATTAACATTATAAAGCTAACTTTTTTTTTTCCTAGAGTAAGTTTTGGGAGGTTAGTGAAATTTTATGCACACTTGGAATAAACAGGAATATTGCTTTTTAAATTCTGAAATTAAAAAACCCACAAAGCTGTGAAAATGTGTGTTTTTACTTTTCCTCATAGAGTAACTCAGTTAGTTATAAAGAAAAATAGATGAATGATACATATATAGAGCAATTTGGAATATGTGTATCCTTCGCCTGGTACAAATTGAGTTCCGAGTCTTAGACCTCTGTGTCAGCATTTTATATAATTCATGTTCATAATGATATTAAGTTGATAAGTTCTTGAAATGTCAATTGCATTATTAAGTAGTTTAAATAATATCTGTTGCTGTTCTCTTAGTCATTTCATTATGTCATTTTTGGAAAATTAGGAAGCTAATAGTTATTATATATGGTGATTCTTAACAGAAATATATTTTCAGTCATTTTGGATAATTAAGCGTGTGCCACTTCTGACTTTTATAGTAATATTTCTTCTCATTGTCTGTGTTAAAAGAAGCATTGAATCTGGGAATTTAATATAAAGTTACCAGTTGTCCTACTTTATGGCTGGTGCTTACATATTTGATGATCATTTTGATACTTTTGTATTTTTGGAAATAATGACCTTATAAGTAGCCACTATTATGAAGTGATGCCAAAGGAGACTTGTTTTTCAGTGGCATTGCTAAGAAGTCCTAATTTTTAAATAGTCTTATGTAAATGTGCTACCAAATATAGGAGCATTTATTGAAATACCCAGTTTTTCAACCAAAATTTAAAGTAATTTGTGGCATTGTTTTTTATTACCACTGTTCTCTATTAATTTTGGCTACATTCATGTTTGTAATATAATTGCTGTATTTTTATCTCAGGTTTTTCTAAATCATATAATAAGCCCAATTTTGAATGATGTCATATTTTACTGGTACAAACTATTAATGGATAGAAGGGAATAGCCTCATAATTTAACTTTAACAACTTTGTTTACACATCAGTTATATACCATAACTATTTTGAATCATAACTTAATTTTTAAAAGCTAATGTACTTGAAGTATTAAAAATTAGAATAATTACTTTAAGACAAGTAAGACTAAACTATTAATTGACTGTTTACTGAATTCTGTTGAATTTTGTTGTTTTATCTTTGTAAATGGAAAAACTGAATGATGGTGTTAATTATGAAAGCAAGGACGCATTTGAACTGAAAATCATGAAGAAGAGAGAACTATTGCCCAGAGTTAATAGCAGTCAATACATAGTTATAAGTGTATATCTTAATTTTGGAATATAAGCACAAATTGACTACCCAGGAAATTTCTATGTGGCCCATTTGTGTATTATGTATGTGAATAAAAACTGCAGATTATACCGTATTGTGGCTTTTTGGACTTACACGATTAATTAAGGAGGAAAAAGTTGATTAAGAGGGAGAAAATAATTTTTTTTTTTTTTTTAATTTAGAAAGGTGTTACCAAAGATGGCTGGAACTGCATTTCTTGCCCTGGTGGTTTAACTGCAGAAGGAAAGTGCCACTGCCCCACTGGCCATATTTTAGGTAAGAAGTAGATTCTTACAGAGCCGTGTAGATGCCTGGACATTCTAGGCAGAAGGAATCGCAAGTGCAAAGGTCCTAAGACGGGCACGTACTTGGCATAGTCAGGGGTCAGCAATGTACTGATGTGGCTGTAGCAGAGGAGGAAAGTGGAAGCAGAGGGTCTGAGAGGTTGGGGTGACGGGGTGCAGATCATGTAAGGCCCTGTGGGCTGTGATCGTGACCTTGGAAATTAACCTGTGTGAGATGGAAGATCATCGGAAGGTTTTCAGAGAAGTGAAATGATCACATTTAGTTTTTAAATGAGCTTCTTCCTGGGGAATTCATTAGGAATCCGTCGCAGAAGTCCAGGGTACAGATGATAGTGTCAGTCCAGGTAACAGTTATGGAAGTAGAGAGAATAATCCAGCTTCTGGATAGACTCTAAACAGAGAGCTGGCAGGACGTGCAGATTTACTTTCTAGTTTTAATTTTTTAAATATAGGTACTGAGAAAATGGTCAAATGGAGTCACCATTTACTGAGCCAGGATGATTGGGAGGAATAAGTTGTTCACCTTTACTTTTGCTACAGTTGTTTTTACCACCTTGCAAAATCTTAACACCTCAAAACCTCCTGGATAACATTATGATCGGGACTGATGGTCTCTGACCATTTTTCACAAAGTCTCTATTACTCCTTCTGCCCCAAAGTAATTGTTATCGTATTGTGTGTGTGTGCTTCTAGAATTTTTTTTTCCTGTTTTTAACATACAGATATACATTGTAGTCACAGGAAATGTAAGTGGTGTCTTTATATAAATATTTCATAACAAAATACTGTTTCACAGCACACTTTTTTCACTTAGCAGTGTGAGCTGTTAGACCTATCTCATTCTTTTTAACCCACCCTGTAGCATTTCATAGTGTAGATAAACCACCATTTTGCTATTTTAAATATTAAGGTTGTTTTCTAACAAATAATGCTTTGATGAGTATCCTTATACACGTGTACATGTGTTTCAGTAGGTTAGGTATCTAAAAATGAAATTGTAGTGGTGTAGGGTATGTGAATTTAAAATTTTAATAGATACTATCAAAAGCCCTCTAAGTGGCAGAAACTTAACAGCAGTCTGTAAAAATGCTTGTTTTCCTCATTCCCAGTGTAACAGGAGCATACAGGTAAGAGGTAAGGAAATTTTTCAAGAAAAAATACTAATTTTTGTTGTGAGGATTTGGAAATTTAGTTTCTGTATTTTTCTCTGTGAATGGGGAGGGTTTCACTTTTCTGTGTTATTGAGGTGCTTAACATTTTTTTAATGCAAATAACATTTTGAGAATTATTAGAATTACAAGTGAGTTTTCCTAAGTATATAAAAGCTTAGATGTTAATTATGAGTTACATCTTAATTCTGTTTTTAAATTGTTTAGTGGAAAGAGATGCAAATGGAGCATTGTTGTCTCAAGCAACTTGTAAGCTCTGTGATGGGAATGAAAACTCTTTTACAGTAGCCAATGCTTTAGGAAACAGGTAAGCAGTGTGCTGCCTGATGGCTTCATTAATATCATTTTATATTTACGCAGAATCTGTACCTTTTTAAAGTACTATCCTATAGCATTTGCTCCTCACATAACCCAAGGAAGGATAGAAGCAGAAACTAACAGCTAAAGAAGCCATGGCCTAGAGAATGAGACAGAGTAGCATTCATATGTTGTCTCTTATCAGTTGTTTGACCTTGGATAGCTCAATAGGTCAATCTCCTTGTCTTTAGAGTGGGATATACCACCCCCTTCATCATCTGTTATCACAGCTTAGAAATAAATGTTAAATTCTTAGCGTAGCGCTACAGAGTAAGTGCTTCAGAAGCTATTTTTGTTTGTTATGTAATTTGCATACACTCTGTAACATAATATATAATGCATCCTGCTTACTGTGGTTAGAGTTCAGTGCCATGCCCTAGCTCTGTCTTGCAAGTAACGAACACCCATCTACACCGTCAGTGTCCCCACTAGTTCAGTGCCCTCTGTTCTTTGTGTTACTCATTAATGAAAAATGTTTTCCCAAAATAAACTGTGACGACCAATGGACTTTAAAAGTGTTGGTTGTAGGTTTGATAAGGAGTAGATACATGTTTCTTTTCAGCATGTTACCTTTTTGCTTTGTGGCAGATAAAATAAGGAAAGTATATTTGATATAAGTACTTATAAAAATGGATTGAATTTCATTTATATGCATTTGTTGGGCTCATTTGTTAATTGAGCGATTTATTCATCTTTGCTGTTCAGTATTATTTATTTTTTACATCCCATGTGGTTTCAAAAGAATACTCCCCTATTATTAATTGTATTTATTTATAATTTGCCTTATAATACTAAGTGATATAAAACTATTCAAATCAGTATTAATATTTTTAATTTGTTTACTTCTTACAAGAAATTGCTTAGCTGAATAAATCTAATCTAGTGTTTTGGAAGATAAGTTCTTGATTAAATTTAGGCTTAGTATAACTCATTAACATTTAAAATATTATTTTTGTTATATTGACAGGTGTGTCCGATGCGAGCCAACATTCATTAAAACCAGCAGGTCCTGCGCGTGTTTAGAACCTAACATTTTAGTAAGGCTAATCAAATTGATAACATATATATTTTGAAATTAAATTGTTCATACTGTTCCATAAACTGTTTTATTTGTTCATTCATTTTTTAGACGGGGGGCTTATGTTTCAGCAACACAGGAAATTTTCCTCCACTTATCATTTCAGCTGCACGTTATGGAGAGCTTGTGAGTATGTTTAAATTTTTTGTTTCATTGTTAAGAATATTTTCGCGCTTCTTTGGTAATTAATTTGGGACTAAAATGAGCAACATTTGTGTGTAAATCACTTTAAAAGAGAAACTATCCGTCTAAGGAACATTAGACTGACAACTCAGCATTATAATTCATAAGTTCAGTTACTGTCTTCTCCACCTTAGCTCACTCCTTTTTCAGTGCATCTCAGAATGTTCAAGCTGAAAGATCCAATATAGATCCTGCAAAGAATGCAGCATAATTTAGTTAGGAGCACCAGAGAATAGAACTCAATTCTGCATTTACCAGACATCCGCTTTGTATCTTTGGACTTAGTTGACATTTCTAAACTTCAGTTTTATTGTCTGGAAATTGGGCATAATAATAATACATTCCTCACAGTGCCTATACATGGCAGTCGCTGGGGAAATGAGGACTATCCCTGTCCAGCCAGGTGCCTCATTTAAGAGGAGAGCATGGTGGCGAAGAGTTAGAGCTTTTGCAACAGATCCTGGTGATGACAGCATCTGGGATGTAAAACGGGAAGTGTGAATGAATTGGACCTGAAGAGGTCACAAATCCAAGAGAGTAGGAGTAGACGACTGAGGAGTAGTTAGTTGATAAGCAGTGAGGACCCTATGCCGGCAGAGCTTGGGGCGGAGCAGGCTAGGATCTGGTTGCTGTAGTATTAAGGAACTTTTATTTGAACTTAAAACTAAAATTCCTCTTTTTGTTTGCAGGGCATGTCTTTCACTTCAGAATGGTTTACAAAGTATTTGCAATCATCAGCAGCTGCTTGTTGGGTTTGAATTTTTTTTAAATAGTTTTATATAATTTTGAAGAATTGTACCTTTCCCCCTTCCAGACCATAAAAGTTTTCTCTCTAAGTAGATATATCTCTTTAGTCTTATTCTATGAGAAGAATAAACCCTTTCTAGGGGATTGAAAGAGAATATGTAAAGAAAATGTTCAGGAAAGGTATCGAAAGGCAAAGGGAATAGGTAAAATTAAAACCAAGCATAATCTATTACATCAGCTTTTCTTAGGACATTAAGCTCCGTGTTCTGTTTCCTTGTTGTCTGGTAGGTATATGCCAATCTGACATCCTGCCAAGCTCTTGGGAATATGTGTGTGATGAACATGAATTCTTACTCTGCCACTTACGATGCCTGTCGACTGTTTCAGTTAGTCTTTGACAATACTGCTGGCCTGGGCACTGTTCATTCTATTTCATTTTGGTAAGGATATTCTGATGGATGAACTGTCATTTTGACCAACTTAAGTGCAGTTACTTTCACAAATATTAGTATAAATATTGCTTCCCCGTTGTTAAAACAATTGTAATTGTTTATAGGAGACAGAATCTTCCGTGGCTGTTCTATGGAGATCAGCTTGGACTAGCACCTCAGGTCCTCAGTACTATACCTCTTCCTACAAATTTCAGTTTTAAAGGGCAAAACCAGGTACAAGCATAACTACATTTTGACTTTCAACTTGAAAAGTAGTAAGAACGTTACTAGTCGTAATTATTGCATTTTTAGGTTGTTTTTAAATTTTTAAGTATCAGCTATTCATAAGAACTAAACAATATAGAGTTTAGCTGTCTTATTTGAGTGCATATATGCATATGTCTGGATTATGTGGTGATGGCAGCACATATACTTGTAGGGTTGGGAAGGGAAGGGAAGGGCAGTTCTCATCAGCAGATGCAAAACAATCTGTCCCTCTATATCTCTACACATTTAAGAAGTGCTTCCAGACACAGACTAGGGCTCTATCCTATTTCCCCAGCACTGCACAGGTCCAAATTCTCACCTCCAATCTTTTGACTCTCTAGAATGAAGTGATAGATTATTCCCTCCCCTACCCACCTGTGTAACAGGTTTGAATGGAGGTTATCTGTCACTAGCACTGCCCCTCAATTCTGAAACAATAGTTTCCATGCCAAAAACAAACAAACAAAAACCATCCATTTATTTTAGGTGTGTTCAGTTGTAGAGATTTATAGATTAATTTTGCTTCAAAATAAAGATAATTGAATTTAATATTTGATCTCTGGAAACAGAAAGGGTCAGTCATCAATGAAAATTTCTTTGTAGAACAGTATGTTGCTTTTAGAGTATGTGACATTATTTTTTTCCAATCTTTCTTTAATCAGAATACAAAAATGAAGTTTGTTGCTGCTTCCTATGATGTAAGAGGAAATTTTCTCAAGTGGCAAACTTTAGAAGGTGGTGTTTTACAGGTGAGCATGATTCTAGCTAAAGAATCACTAATGTGCCTTACTTTTGCCTGAGGAAAGATTAGTTTATTGCTTGAATGGAGCATCAGTTACATGCTATGGTTGATTTTTTTCTTGTACTTTAAATTGGAATTTCTTGAAACCACCTTAAGTTATGACTTTAATTTAAATAAAGATGTTCTCTTTTCCTACCTTTAATACATTAAATAAGTGTTCTATAAAGTTTGTATCCATGTTGGGACTTGAGAATTCTTGACTATAAGCCAGGAAAACATTTGTGAGAGAAATTTATCAATTGTATCCTTCTGCTGTAGCTCTGCCCAGACACAGAAACTAGATTAAATGCTGCTTACTCTTTTGGAACAACCTACCAACAAAACGTAAGTTAAAGTTTGAACTGTATCCAATAGTCTGTATTTTAGTTTCATTTTCAAAACATTAGCATAATTGGAATAATCTTTGAATGTTTGAAACTGGAGATGTTTTGAGTAGTAATGAAGAATTTCACTGATTGATGTAATTTTTTATTAGCCTGGGTACAGAAAATCTTAATTGAATTAGCATGAAGAGAGCACCGTGTCTGCCTTAGAGTTTTATACATCATGTGATGTTAGATTTTCATAATCGGTTGATGACTCACCTTAGGCATACAGGTCTTAAAAGCAGGGTCTACTTCTGAGAATTTTGGAATACAGTAAAAATGTTATTTTTAGTGACTTAATAAAAATGTTACTCCCCCTCCGTCTACCCACCCTACTCCCAGTAACAAGTAATAGTGCTGTCTTTTCCCTCCCTCCACACTTTCCTTCCTCTTCCCTCCTGACCGCCCTCCTTCCGGTGACCATTTTGAAATTACAGTATGGTTCAACAGAGTAGTATGAGCCATTAAACATTCACTAGTTTACAAAAATTCTTCTTGATTAAATGCATATACACTCACCATAGAACAAAACTGTGATTACAGTTTCGTTAAAGCCACGATGAAAAATAGTATCATGGAAAACACTGGAAGAAAATAAACATTTTTAACGTGGTTATATCTGGATGGTGGGATTACGTGTGATTTTCTTTATTATATCACAAACATGAATTCACTTTTATTATCAGAAATGACATATATTATTTCCCAAAAAAAAGGAAAACAGAATGTTATATGTCTGCCATGGCCAGAAGAATCAACACTTGTTAAGTGCCTGCTGCTGTGTGTTCAGCATTTTATCATTGTTATCTGGGCCGTGAAATACTATGTGAAATGCATATTATCTGTACTTCACAGAGGAGGAAGTGTGGTGCTCGGTGAAATTAGGTAATTTACTCAAAGGTCTTGCATCAGGTAAATTGTGCAGCCAATATTCTGTTAAGTTAAAAAATCATGCTTTTTCCTTTGAACTTGGCTGCCTATCAAGTGCTTCACAGTGTAGTAAACAGCTATATAGACAAAATGTTGCAAAGAGTACATTAAGTGTTAGTCTATAGGTATGGACAAGGTACCATATTGGCACACACCAGGGGTCAGTTCCTGAGGAAGCAGGGAAGGACTTCGTGGTGGGAGTGATACTTGGTTTTCTAGGATGAATATGAGTTTGCCAGGAGAACATAGTGGGAAAGGGACTGTCAGGCAGGAGCAACATTTGTAGCATTTGAGAGACATGGAAGAGCACATAGCACATTTAGGTGCTGCACGCTGATTAGTATGAATGGACTTTAAACTGGTAGGGAGCAGTGAGAAATAAGCCTGGCTTTGTTAGGGGGCCAAGTCATAGACAGCATTGTACATCAGGAGGAAGAATTAGGGCCACATCCCGTCTCACTGCTGTACCGTGATGTTGAGAGTGAAGGCATGCCCTCTTCAGCTGGGTTGTAGGACAAGAGCCAGGCAGTTCTTTACTGTTAGGTTTTTTTGGTCCTTATTTTAAAAAAAAAATCATCTATAGCCTCATGTATTAGAAAGCACAAGGAAATGCATATCAACAAGGTAATTTAAACATTTTATGAAATTTTTTTAAAAATAGCCTTTGAAAGATAATATGTGTTGTAATATTCAGTTGGGATGCTTTTATTTTTAATTTTATCTTCCAGTGTTTGATTCCTGTTTCTAAGATCTTGACAGACTTTCCCACTCCTATATTTTATGATCTATACCTTGAATATACCGATGACAATCAACACCAATATATTTGGGCTCTGCCTGTTTTAAATCTAAATCTTCAACACAATAAGAAATTTGTGAACCAAGGTAAGACATCCATGCACACCATTCTTTCCCTGAGCTGAACCCAACAAATAGACCAAACAACCTGATAACTGAATAAACCATGGATTGTAAGAAAGGTCATAGATTCCCTCTTATTGTATGGTTTTATATAGCATGTTAAAAAGTAAAACAATAAGATTGCCGGTATATTTAGAAACTTTTACAAAGTGTGTCAGGCTTATTGTTAAGAAATCATATTATTGCTAAAAGAGTGTCCTGAGAAAATTAATAGAACTGTAACCTGGGGCTTCTTCAAATTGTTCAGGAGCTGCTTTCTAGACAAATTCGTTTCTTTCATTGTTTCCCATATTGTAAAACTCTGCTTATTCAGGAAATGTGCAGGGATCACTTTTCCAAAGTGATGAAAAGTCCAATCAGTCAGAAAACATTCATAAAGTAGGGAAATCTAGTGGGAAGTTCTTACAGCAATAGTGTTTTCTGCAATCGTCTTACAAAATGCACTAATTTTGTGTGTTAAATTTATCCAGTCAGCTTCTCCTTGAGAGCCACCTTGAACAATTTGAAGGTATTTTTAATGCCATTTTTTCTTTTTATGATTAAAGACAGTAACTCTGGCAAGTGGCTTCTAACTCGGCGCATTTTCCTAGTGGATGCACTAAGTGGGCGAGAAAATGACCTAGAAAGTCAGCCAAGATTCATTCGAATTGCTACACAGATATCACTGAGGTAAACAAATGTCTTTCACGCTAAATTAGGCTTAAAGCATAAAGCAGAATATCATAAAAGAGCGCGTTTACCAATAATCAAAGGGAAACAACGAAGACAACTCAACGGAAACAAAACCTAAGGTTGTTTTAGATATCTGTGTGGCAGATGAGGTTACACCGATAGAGGCGAGACACCAAGAAGACAATTACAACGAGCTTGTGGAGTTTCGTCAGAATTCACGTTACAGGCCTCACTCACTCTAGACCTGCTGAATTAGAGCTGGTTGAGGGGTGGAGGGTAGGGCGAGTGTCAGTGGGCTGAAATGGGTACATGGGAAGGAGCCTGCCAGGTGGTTGCAATAGGCAGGCCTCCTCTGTCTTCACCTCCATGTTAAGTCCAGATTAAGTTCAAAAGAAACCATAAGTTAAGTATATGTTTAAGTGCCTACATGTACTTATAACGAGAAGTGTATTTTCTTTCAAACAGCATCCGCCTTGTACCCAACACAAAAAATGGAAACATCTACCCTCCCTTAATCACCATTGGCTACAGTGACATTGATGTCAAAGATCCCAGCAGCCAGTTTGTGAAGGTGAGTTCTTGACTAACCTGTGCCTCTGTGTGCGTTAAATATGGGATACAGTTACCTTGCGGTCAAAAGGCAATTCGTCCTTTCTCAAGTTCTACATAAACACTGTTCTTTATATAGTCAAATCTTAATTATTTTTCTCTAATAATGGTAAGAGGTGAGTTCTTATGGAGCCTGAGTATTAAAAAGGCAAGAATAAGTTTTTTGTAGACAGTGTCACCAACAGTCGGGCATCCCTTTCAGGATGCTGGGGGATGCGGAGAGGGAGCATCTCTCTGCTGCTCTTCTCTTTGGCCACCCTGCTTCTGTTAAGATTTTGTCTTCTCCTTGCCCTGGCCTACAAAAATCAACCAATGAATGCATAAATATGTGGAACAACAAATTGATCTTTCTGTCTCTCTCAAAATAAAATAATTAATTTAAAAAGAAAAAAAGATTTTGTCTGCTTGCCTAATTAAACCAGGAACTCAGACTTTCCAGTGGGCAGTCTTGCCCACTTCAAGACACACTTCAACTGGCAGAAAGATGAAACGGATGAGCTTTATAACTAGTCGTGCTAAAATGAACTAGAGAATGCAGTTTGGACTTACAGCTGAGTGGGCTTTCTACTCTTTCCCCATCTCAGTTAAGCTTAACCATAGAACTAAAGGCCTCTCCTGCCTGGCAGGGTCTGTATGGGGGAGAGGCCGTGTGCACCCTGAGGACAGGCTGCACCCCGGAGAACGGCCTGGGAAAGGCGGGGCCGTACGTGCTCAGCTCCTGCTCAGCCTCGCCCAGTGGATCAAACGTTTCTGCTCGGAAGACAGATAGAGACAAACCAGAAGGGGCCCCGCTGTTCTTTTTCCTCGGAGATTAAGCAGTTGTCCCCTTCCCTCTCTGAAAACAGGAAAAACGGGGATAAGCATCCCTCACCCAGCAGACTCACTAATAGCTTCTAATTTCCACTCTTTGAGTTTGCTGAGTTTTAGTGTTCTTGTTTCTTCAGCGAGTGCTTTTGGCCTCCCTGCTGTGCTTGTGCTTGTAGCCTGGTGCTATTGGAGCTAGGCTTTCATTGAGCAAGAAGACTGCACGCAGCATAACTTTCCTCTGAAAGACTGATGTCCTCACTGTTCTGCCTGACCTGCTGTTAAAGTTAGTTTCCGTTGCCATGGCTTTTGCACACTGCACTAGGATGACACCCAGAAGTATGCTCTGACGAAAGACTGCCTGGGTCAAAATTTCCTGGTGGGATCACTCTCGGGTAACCAAGAGTATAAGTATATTTATTTTACATAAAATAATTCTGGATCTTTTCTTTAAGTCCTTTTATTGTCCAAAATATTCCAAACTAAGTCTTGACAAATTGGAAAATAAGAGAATGAGTTGAGAGAATCATGAAACTGTACTCACAAGGTCCACCTTAAATTCATTCTAATGTAGAACGTACAGTTCGTTTCTTGATTCCTCTTGGCAGCTGCTGCAGAAACTGTGTGTTAGTTTTAGGCATTCACCACTTCTCCGCGGTCCCACCAACAGCAGATGACCTTCCCTCGTGTTTTATGAGGATTGAGACTACCCTGTGCGAATTTCCTCAGGTTTCCTCTCTGACACTGCAGCACCTGTTTCATCATCCTTGTCTCCCGCCCCTAATTCTAAGGGGGGAAGCCCTTTCTCCTTTCTTTAGCTAGTCATCTACTTTTACTTGTTTGCAGACTTTCCCAGTGCCCTGTTTCACCCTCACCCGTCTCAGCCGGCTTCTCTGTTAATCCCATTCCTTTGCTTTAACACCTTCAGGTTGCCCCTTCTTAAAAGCAGACTAAAATAACTAAACGATAAAATGCTTCCTCAATCCTGTTAGCTTTTCAGCTTGCTATTGTGTATCTTTCCTTGATTTTCCAACCACTTATTCTTCCACCATTTGCAATCTGGCCCAAGCCACTGTGATCAGAACAGCCTGGTACTGGCACAAGAACAGGCATAGAGATCAGGGGAACAGAACAGAGAATCCAGAAATCAACCCACGTCATTGCGCTCAACTAGTATTTGACAAAGGAGGCGAGAGCATACAATGGAGTAAAGACCGTCTCTTCAATAAATGGTGCTGGGAAAATTGGACAGGTACATGCGAAAAAAAGAAACGAGACCACCAACTTACACCATACACAAAAATAAACTCAAAATCGGTAAAAAACTTAGACATGAAACCATCAAAGTCCTAGAGGAAACATAGGCAGCAAAATACTGGACCTCTCGTGTAGAATCTTCACCGATACGTCGCCTAGGGCAAGAGAAATGAAGGGAAAAAATAAACAAATGGGCCATTGTGCTTCTTTGAAAAAGCTCCGTGAAGGTCAGCAATGAATTTCACATACACTGGCTTTATTTCTTAACACATTCGACACTGAACTCTTGACCTTGAAACCCTGTGCTCTGACCCTGGTCCGACCCAGGACCTTGCCTCTCCTGCCTCTCCCAGCCCTGTTTCTCACTTTTTACTGGTGGTGGTGGTTCTCGTCTTGTCTTTTAATGTAGCGGTGTCCCTAGGCTCTCATTCAGCCCTTCGATTAATCTGCCTCTTAGGGTGTGATTGTTTCACCAGTTGCTAAATTCTTGATACGTAAGTTCTGTCATATTCCTAGTTCCGTAAACCTATCAGAAAATGAACTGATTCGTTTGGATTGACGGCTGTTAATGAACCTAACCTAGCTCCTAATGAACCCCTCTTTCCTTAATGTGTGTTCAAAGGGGATATTTAAGCAGCGTGAATAATTCCCAAAGCATATCCATTTATGTGTAAGGGTCAACTAGTAAGATTGATACTTCAAAAATGTGGCATTTATGGTAAAATCCAGCTACAAATGTATTTTTATAGTAGAAGTAGGTTTGTATTACATATTTTCGGTATGACTAATTTGCTTTCTTTTAAATATCAGATTTCTTTCTCAGTCAAATATGAAATGAATCAAGGAGACGCGCATATCCAGACAGATGTGAGTTTATTTTAAACTGTTAAAATATTTACAGTATGTTTTTTTAAATAAAAAAATTTAGATGAACAGGAAAGTGGTCCAAATAAAGAGATCTGCATCATATTTTTCACCCAGCCTCCTGTGATTTTAACATCTCATGTAATTATAGTGCAGTGATCATTGTCAGGAAATTAATACTGATACAGTCCTATTAACTCATCTTTGAATTTCACACTTTTTTTACTAGTCTTTTTTGTTCTAGGATGTAATCCAGGGTTGCACATTGCTTTGAGCCGTCACATCTCCTTTGATCTGTGACAGTTTCGTTGTCGTTCATGACTGACCCTAACACTTGTGAGAGAACTGGTGGATTATTGTGGTTTATCTGATATTTTCCCACGATTAAATGTAGTTTTAGAACAGATACCACAGATGATGTTATGCCCTTCTCAGGGAATCATGTCAGAAGATACTGCATGTCAGTATGTCATTACTGATACTAACTTTGACCACATGGCTAAGATGATTATCTGCAGAGTTCTCTACTGTATGTGCCATTTATAATTGATAAATATCTTAGAAAGAGATACTTTGGGGTTATGCAGATATCACACTTACTATCCTTTTGCCCTCTAATTTTGGCATCTATTGACAATTCTTTCCTGTAAAAAGTATTAACTGTGATATTTGTGTGGTGGTAATTTTCTGTTTCCATCATTTCTTCTATATTTCTGCATTGGAATTCTACTTCAAAGAAGAGCTGTTCTTTTGCCCACATTGATTTATTTATCAGTTAGTTATTTAAATCAGTATGGACTAGTGGATACTTATTTATTCTAGTGATTATATTCCATTACTATCTATTGTCTTGCTCAAATTGTTCCAAATTTGGCCCCTGGGGGGGTCCCTTCAGTTTGGCTCCTATATTCTTTTTTTTAAACTTTTTTTTTTTTTTTTTTTTTTTTTTTTTTTTTTTG